CCTTATAGATTCTTCAATAAAGAAATAGGTCAACAGTGGAAAGCTAGTACTTTGAGCAAAGGTCGGAATTATCGGCAATCCCAACCTTTGGGGTGACAATTTATTGACATCGTAACCCTAATTAAGGATTAGCCTATAATAACATCCCTAATAAAGGTCCTTAAGCAAAACTTGCAATAACAGTTCCACCTCGTTCCCACAGACATTTCGATTCCATCCATTTATCAGTTCGGTGTGCTCCGCTGTGATCAAGAAACATCATGATTATTGATTTGACTTGGGTGACTTCATCACCTCTACTTCGACCAATCCCCCAAGGACACATGGCATAGCTTACCTAAGTACCTCGTTGCTAACAAATTAAAGGTCAACAATAATGAGAATATCAACACCCATTCTAAAACATCATGATTAGTTGTCAGAGCTGGCCTCATCTTCCAATAAAAACCTTCATCGCTGAACAAATTGGTGCACTCAATAAGGAAAAACACTGTAGCTGACGTCGGGTTGCACTGCAGACGAAGTGACTATGGTGGCCAATTTTCCAAAATTCAGCTATAAATGGGAATGTTTGGTCCGTTTGATGGACAACAAGATCACTTATTTTCCTCATTTGTATTACAGCACCTTTGAACGAAAAGTCAATAAATTCATTATTTTTACTATTCCAACTAATCACCTCGTCCTAACACTCATTTAAGTTGACAAACATTGATTATTCAGTTTTGAACGTCAAGAATACCATAACATGTTAAACGCTATGTTTGAGCCTCATTTTCTATAAAAATAATAAAAAATCAAAATAAAATAAAAGTTGTATGAAAGTAATTTATTATTATTATTATTATTTTATTTTGGCGGAATATGTGATTAAAAGTAGATAATTTTTTTTAGATTTATGTGGAAATTATTTTATTGAGAGAATATGGTTGAAAATGAATTCGAGAAAAATAAAGTTTTGGATAATAGAGCTCAAACAGGGCTAAATATGTTTAGGGGCCTGCTTGGGAGTTTTGGGTATCAGCTATTAGCATTTTTTAAAGTACAGGTTTTGAACGTTTATAAACGGATTGGTTTTGAGTGATTTTAATAGTAATTTTTAAAACAGTTTTACTTATGTTTGGGAGTTTATTACCCGCTAATTCTGAAAGTATTTTATAAGAATAAAATTACATGTATGTCCCTTAGTGAAATTTTCAATTTATAGTTTCTTGTATGAGTTTTTTACTTCAAAGTGTTATTTTACTTATAGATAATTCTTTTAAATATGAGTTAATATTTAACTTAAAAAGTTAAGTAAAGAAAATATTTACTTAAAATTTTAAGTTAGTATTTTTACTTAATAGTAAACTTTATATAAATTAATTTTATACGTTTAAATAATTTTTACACATAAGTGAATTTTTTACTTATAAGTAATTCTTTATATTTTATAAGTGAGTTTTTATCTTATTAGTAATGTATTTTCTTAAACAAAAGTTATTTCTTGTCTTATAATTAAAATTTTACTTATATACTTTATGGTCACCAAACAAATAAGAAAAACCGTGGAAGTATAGTTGATGATATGTTGGTAAAAAGCATAATTGCCGGAGATCATATTCAACATCTCTTATAAATGTTTGAGATCCTAAGGAAGTACAAGATGAAACTAAATCCACTCAAATGTGCATTTAGGGTAAGCTCTGGTAAATTCCTGGGTTATTGATAAGTCATAAAAGAATTGAGGCCAATTCAGAAAACATGTGATCTATCATAAAGCTGAAAGTACCAACCAAACCTAAGGAGATTCAAAATTTAACTAGAAAAATCACTAAAGAATTTACTAGATCTTACCCCAATTCCTGGTTGGGACCAGATCTGACATTCGTTGACCTTAGTCACACCTTGTCAAGTCGATGCCTTGAAAGGCCAGGCCTTTACAGATTTTTCAATAAGTGGAAAGCTAGTACTTTGAGCAAAGGTCGGAATTATCGGCAATCCCAACCTTTGGGGTGACAACTTATTGACATCGTAACCCTAATTAAGGATTAGCCTATAATAACATTCCTAATGAAGGTCCTTAAGTGAAACTTGCAATAACAGTTCCACCTCATTCCCCAGACATTTCGATTCCATCCATTTATCAGTTCGGTGTGCTCCGCTGTGATCAAGAAATATCATGATTATTGATTTGACTTGGGTGACTTCATCACCTCTACTTCAACCAATCCCCTAAGGACACATGGCATAGCTTACCTAAGCACCTCGTTGCCAACCAATTAAAGGTCAACAATAATGAGAATATCAACACCCATTCTAAAACATCATGATTAGTTGTCAGAGCTGACCTCATCTTCCAATAAAAACCTTCATAGCTGAACAAATTGGCACACTCAATAAGGAAAAGCATTGTAGTTGACGTCGGGTTTCACTGTAGGTGAAGTGACTATGGTGGCCAATTTTCCAAAATTCAGCTATAAATGGGAATGTGTGGTCCGTTTGATGGACAACGAGTTCACTTATTTTCCTCATTTATATTACAACACCTTTTAATGAAAAGTCAATAAATTCATTATTTTTACTATTCCAATTAATCACCTCGTCCTAACACTCATTTAAGTTGACAAACATTGATTATTCAGTTTTGAACGTCAACACTACCAAAACATGTTAAGGCTATGTTTGAGCCTCATTTTCTATAAAAATAATAAAAATAAAATAAAATAAAATAAAAGTTGTATGAAAGTAATTTATTATTATTATTATTATTATTTTACTTTGGCGGAATATGTGATTAAAGTAGAGAATTTTTTTAGATTTATGTGGAAATTAATTTATTGAGAGAATATGGTTAAAAATGAGTTCGAGAAAAATAAAGTTTTGGATAATAGAGCTCAAACGGGGCTAAATATGTTTAGGGGCCTACTTGGGAGTTTTGGGTATCAGCTATTAGCATTTTTTAAAGTACAGGTTTTGAGCGTTTATAAACGGATTAATTTTAAGTTATTTTAATAGTAATTTTTAAAACAGTTTTACTTATGCTTGGGAAGTTTATTACCGACTGATTCTGAAAGTATTTTATAAGAATACAATTACATGTATGTCCCTTAGTGAAATTTTCAATTTATAGTTTCTTGTATGAGTTTTTTACTTCTAAATGATATTTTACTTATAGATAATTCTTTTAAATATGAGTTAATATTTAACTTAAAAAGTTAAATAAAGAAAATATTTACTTAAAATTTTAAGTTAGTATTTTTACTTAATAGTAAACTTTATATAAATTAATTTTATACGTTTAAATAATTTTTACACATAAGTGAATTTTTTTACTTACAAGTAATTCTTTATATTTTATAAGTGAATTTTTATCTTATTAGTAATGTATTTTCTTAAACAAAAGTTATTTCTTATCTTATAATTAAAATTTTACTTATAAGTAATTTTTTAATTATGATCTTATATATATATAATTTTTGTAGTTAGTTTTGAAAAAAAATATGCTGATTGAAAATAATTATTTTATAAGTGGTAAAATTAGAAGAGAATACAAGAAAGATAAAAAATCTCCGATTTAATTAGTTGAGAGAACCTATCGAAATTACACTACACCGATTTTTGGTGATTTTTAAACCATAAAAAATCGATGTCCAAAAAAATTGGTAAACACAGACTTTTAGAATTCCACATAAACTATGCCACTCAAAATCGGTAAAAAGCAGTAGTAATAATAATAATAATAATAAGCATTTATAAGCCCCTAGTGATTTTTGTTCAGTCAACTGTCATTACAAAATTGTTCTTCGAAAGAAAACTAAAATAATAGACACCGAGTCAAAAGCATAGTAATTAAAGGCAGCCTCAACCAGAATCAGGCCGACCCACTTGAGTGGAAGACCAACTAACTAAATTGTACAATTTATTTATTAAACTGTCCATAGTCAAATTGGTCTATAAACCAATCGTTTAAAAGAATATCTAAAGTGTCTCCATACTTGAGGGGGAAATATATTATAAGAGATAAATTCATTTAATACTTCTAATTTCTCAAGAAATAAAAACGCATACAAAAGATTCTAAAAAATTCAAATAATAATTTTACCAATGATTCAACAAATAAATATCGACTCACATATTAAGCCAATGATCTAGGGACTCGATTACTTGGTAAGGACCAATGTTCAAGTCGCGTATGATACTTTGTTGTTGAACAACTCGAGGTAAAAGCATAATTTGTCACATTATTGGGTATAGGAGTATAAATTAAGCCTCATTTTGGCTCTATAAATCATTTATGAAGAACTATAAGATAAATGACAGCAAATCCCATGAAATATGTGAATAATAATGAATAGTAGGTCTATTTGATTTTTTTTTTTTTTAAAATCGTGGATGTTTGAATCAGCTTGCGAGCACCTCGACTAATTCCAAGGGGCCATGAAGTTTACCACCGGATACTCATCTCAGTGGCCTCTGAGGGGACTCGAACTTGTGACAATTGAGGAGCAAACCCAAGATCTGATCAATTGAACAATCTCTCATGGTTAGGTCTATTTGAAATTAATATTTAATTTTTTTAATGAATTTATAAAATTTATATCAAATGGAGTCTAATTAATGCGTGCAAAAATGTACCTTTTGGGAGATTAAAAAGTGGTCAAAAGCTGCAAAGAAACGATGCATTATAGGGCAATCTCTTAACCCAATGATCATTTCAATTTCTATGAGAATTTTATTATTTCTATGAAGTATAAATTACACTAATGTTGGTTTAGGCCTGCACATGCTTACATGTTGTGTCGATATTTTATTAAACATTTTGGCAGACACGATGAATTCTTTTCTTAGAACGGGGCGGCAAAGACAAAGATTTGTGTCTTGGAGTTTATGTACCGAGCTTTGTATTTGTTTGTGTTAGTTGAAGAATAATTTATTTGAGTTAATTGACTTAATAAAGCAAGCTTGTTTTCTTTGTTGCCTGTTTGTGGGACAATATTCTCATTTCTCACAGACCCATAATGGAGTACTCTCAAGGAGGTTCACAAGTAAGGCGACTTCACATCGTCTACTTCCTTAGTAGAAATGGTCATATCGAGCACCCCCATCTCATTCGAGTCCATCATCTCTCAAGAATTGGTGTACACTTGCGAGGTTCGTGTGTGTATGTAGTCAGGGACGGAGCTAGGGGATAAAAAAAAATTTCTATTGATACATTTTACCTTAAAAAATAATGGGGCTTCTCCCTCCGCCTCTGATGTATGCAATCTTCGAGTAGCAAGAAGTTTACGCTCAAAATCTATTAATACTAACTGTTTCTAGACTTGATCAAGTAACTTTTGCATTGACATTTTGAAAAATGTAGATGTTAAGAGATGGTTGGCAGAATTACGAGGAAAGGACATGCCTGAAACCTTTGCTTGGTCATATAAGAGGTAAGTAAATTAAATTAATGAAGTTTTTCGAATATATTTACAGTTCAAGTCAGTGTGTATAACAAATTTTTGGTGCAGGCGGTACAAGACAGGTCATGTGTGGCAAGATTTGCTAGACGATGATCTAATCACTCCAATCTCGGATAATGAATACATTCTCAAGGGATCAGAGATTATCCCTACAACTTTTCATAAAGGTGAATAGCATCTAATTTTCGAAAATTTTAATTTAATTTTTATTGGTATAATTCAGTTTAAAGATCATCAAATCTATGTTTATTATCAATTCCTAAGGACCCTTGAAAAGGTCTAATGGGTACATGAAAGTGACGAAGTGGCTTTGACTTCGAAACGAAACAATAAGTATTTTATTTCCATTTCTTTTTAATCCACAGAGATTTCATATGCTGAAAAGCAAGTTCCCATGCAAACCAAGCCCTCACTTGAAGAAGATGAAGAGAAGAAACCCATAGAAACTCAAACACAATCAGAAACCTCAATTGATGTTTCCACAGAAGAATCCACAATATTTGGTTCGGAAACATCTACTTCGACAGATAATTCAGCGAAACTTGAAGTATATGAGAAGAATTCAGATACAATAAGTGAACAAGATCAATCAATTCAAATGGAAAAGAAAAGGAAAAATAAAGTGCAAATCGAAATAATTGATAGGCCGATGGCTTCATCAATTAAATCATCATCTGAATCTTGTTACGCAAAAGGCACGAGCCATTCAAGCAGAGGATCCCAAATATTTCGTAACTTGATCACTTGTCGTGCTTTAGATACTAATGATTCAGCTGTCGTGATGATCAATAGTAAAAATAGTGAGATATGCAAAGGAGAGAAACTTGGAGGGTCTCAGAGGATGTTTGGGACTACATTGAACCAACAACCATGGAATACTGGCAGGTAATGCTCGAGTTTCTATCAATATTGGAAAAATATGTAGTGCACGTTTGGTGCATAGTACTAACCGGAGTAACCTCTGTAATCTATACCATTTTAACTTTTCCTTTTGTAGTACTTTTTTTTTTCTTGATATTCGACGTGCAAGTCTCTTAAATCTTATGATGTGAACTCTATTATCTTATCCTTGGATCCTCAAAGTTGGTCCGGAATTGGTGGCAGGAAGAGCTGTGATGGGGTGATGGATTCAAAGAAAAATTCCGGTGAATTCATTAATCAAAGAACGACACGCAATGCTTACAAACTCGTTAATAACCCAAATTGCTCGTAAGTTGCTTGACACTTCCCCCTCTTTCTTTACTTAAAATCATGATTTTTCGTCATAACCATCATATTTAAGAATCATTCCAGTTCAGGATAATGGGAAAAATTGATTTCCGCAATAAGAAAAAGAGGGATTTTGTACTTTCACTCTCACTTGCTATAAAACCAGGATTTTGAATATCATAACTTTCATCAATATCTCCATATATATACGCAATAATTCTTCTCTTATTGCATTAGATTTCAAGAAATTAGAGGAATCGCAGAGTAACAAATTTACTTAAATGTTTATTGTCGTTCTCTCTTATCGACACAAGATACACAAGAAATTGCAACTCTTCATTTCCTTCGACGGAGTGGTTTGTTTTAAGGAATTAAATCTGTTGTAATTTAAAACTTCATGAATCTTGATTTAGAAAACCCTTTTACTTTAGAATAATGTCATTTGCAATCGCTCACTGCAGCAATCGTCATATGTAGCACACATATGGCATGTTGTTATTTAATGCATTAATGTGGTAAACATGCCATGTGTGTGCCACATAGGGCGACTGCTACAGTGAGCGACTATGAATAACATTACTCTTTACTTTATTGCTAAATCTTCAATGTCAAATCATCAAGAAAATTAAAAAGGTGCGGACATACTTTGATCCATAGAAAATTGTGATTAATTGCTGAATCTTGACTAGTGTATTCTTGATTAGAAGATTTGTGGGTTTTTTATCTTCATCTTCAATGTGTTTTCTCTTGATATTCTTATATCGATGGGATGCAAATTGAGGGACCATAACCTTATATATATCTTTTCACGTCTTTCAGTCCATCATGAAATACAACATAAATAAATTTGACATCTACACATATTTAGGAATTAAGCTAAATTAACATAATGCTTGACATAGGGGTTGACCGACCACTCACATTGTATGTGGGTCCCGACCTGAATTAAATAATGTCGACATCCTCATGTGTGTGTGTTGTGTCATCCCCTATGTCAAACATTATGTCCGTGTAGCAAACTCCATATTTGGGACCATGCCATATTAGATAGAGATGGCAATGGGGCGGGTTTGGGGCTGGGCACCCTCGCCCCGCCCCATCCCGTCCCGTCCCGCCCCTTGCCCCACCCCACCTTAGACAGGGAGGGACGGGTTCGGGGCGCGGGCTTGCCCAGTTTATTTTTTTCTTTTTTCAAAAATTTCCAATTAACTATTTTTTTGTTTTTAATTTGTAGTTAGTTTT